GCTGCTGAGGCTCTGACATCACACAGGGGCCAGCTGTTGATTTGGCTCTGTCTCCAAGGCTGGCTGGCTTGATGGCTTGTGGCAGGTAGACTTGTGCTTGCACCGCACTCTCCCTCCCTCCCTCTATCCCTTTCTCTCTCTCTTTGTGACACCCACTCTCCCTCGCCCTCTCTCTTTACACTGCCCTCTCGTCGTCTTACACTCTCACTCAGTCGAGCGAGCGTACAGGAGGCAGCAGGCAGCTGCCGAGGAGCGAGCTGGGAGGCAACTCCAGCCTCCTCTCCAGCAAATTGTGCCTCCTGTACAATGGAAACTAAGTGGTCAGGCAGCAGAAGGGATGGAGGGCAGAGCTGCCGGGCAGGTAAGTCCTGCAGCTTCAAACTGCCATGGATCTCACATGCCTTTTGTGATTTCTAGAGTGCTTTTAGTGTTTTCTTGTAGTTAATTTAATTCTGCCTTTTCAACATTTTCTTTTTCAGTGCTCCAATAAGTGAGCATATCTTGTATTCACTGCAATTTAAAAACTGCCTCAGCTCCTTCTTTTATCATTATACGATAGCAAGTTAGTAAGCAAGTATGCAGTCTTTTTCTTTGGCTTGTTAAACTAAGCGCAACATGAGATGTGTGCTGCCAGTGCCGTGTTGCTCAGTGAGCCTCAGCCAGAGCTTTTGAAATCTCCTCACCAGTTTGCTGCTTCTGCTTTTCATTACAAGGATAATTAACCAAGATCAGCCAATAAGGGGCTTTGCTCTGCATTGTTCGCCAGCCAGGCTCATCCTGCCTCCCGTTTCCCGTTTGCTCTGCAGGTGTTGTCTGCAAATGGACTTTTAATGACTCTGACAGACTTTTTGAGTTATTCCTCCCTCATAAGGCTTTGTAGATTAAAACTGCTAGACTTGCATGTTAGGTTTCTGTGTTTATTGTTTCTCTTCTAATTGCCTAGATTGATATTCCCTGGAAGCTCTCCTATGGGATAGATAATGGATTACCTACATGTTCTGTTGTGGATTTAATTTATTAATGCTGACTGGCTGCGCCGCACCGCGCTCGCGCTGCCTTATGTGACCTGGAGGCAAAGCGAGCAGCGCAATTAAAGGCTCATTTGTGCCTGTTTATGTTTTTTCTGTTAATTCAGTCTGAGCTATTACACGCAGTTCCTTAAACCGATACCGCCTCAGTCACCCTGAAACTGAGACAAGCAATGTATGAAAGTGATATAATTTCATAGGCTTTACACTAATCGTTTTCTGGTCCAATTATATAGCTCCCCTGTCAGTGCTTTCCTCGCTTTGCAATTAGCAGAAATAGATGGAAAATGGGAGATTAGTTACTCAGTTTAGCAAAACACAGAAATCAATTTTATTGCAGCGCCATGAGTGTGAACCGGTATTAGTAACCTAATTAACTCTTTATTTGATGCCTGATTTTATTAACCAAGGTGCATGTCCTGCAATGTGCTGAAGCCGACTTATTCTGATTCTCCTTTATTGGTTTGTATGGAATTCAGCAATTAATTGCATTGCCATGAAATGTTTGGCTTCAGTTGCTGTGTATCCAGTGGTTGAAATCAGATGAAAATACTTAAAAAATCAAAAATGGCAGGCAGGTGACATAAAGCTGTGGCCCATAGACATGGTGTTCCTTTTGTATTTATGTCTCTGCTCTTGTCTTTCACTGCTCCAGTGAATAGAGCTCTGTTTAGTATTCTACATCTCTGCAGACAATATCCCAGCTGTTTGGCACAGCTCCTACTGTTGTTCTTTTTATGTGACACTTATAGAAGCTCATCAGCAGCAATAAAACATGAATAATTTCTTAACACGCAGGCTGCGACAGCTTGCAGGATGATGCTGCAGCTTCATTGCTTTCTGCTCGAGTAAAATGATTTTCCATTGTGATCACCCAGAAGCTTGTGAAGGCGATGGCTTGTTCTTTTCTGCGCCGTGTTTGACTCATCTTCTCATTCTCTGCCAAGAATAGAGCCAGGGATAGAGTAGTGGATAGAGGGAGGGATTGAGGGTTCTTCACCTCCAGTGGAGCTGGTTGTAGCCCAGACAAGAGCCCTGTTCCATGCAGAGCTGAGCAGAACAGAGCAGAGGTGTGGGAGGGAAAGGTCAGCCTTTGCAAAAGAGAAAGCCAGGTGTGTGTGTGTGTGTGTGTGTGTGTGTGTGTGTGTGTATGTTCATGGTTGTGAAGGGGAAAGAAAATGGGTGTACTGAAGTGTGCTTGCTCGGCTGTTCTTGTGTGTGTGTGCACCATCACCAGCAGGCTCTTATGCACTTCACAGTGATTGAGAAATTTCTCATTAGCCTCCATTGAACATAATCTTTTGTGAGAGTAGGCTGTTAAGAGCCCTGTGTATGATTAACTCAGCTCAGTTGACAACCACCCTCATGACCCCACTGTGGGGTTTTTGAAAATTAATTCTCATGAAGAATGTATGTGCAAAGGAGAAGTGTAAATATGTGGCTGTACAGTCACACCAGTCCAGCTGTTAGTCATGATTTTTGGAATAATCACATTTTAATTGCATCATTGATACTAAAAATTTTTATTTTTATATTTTTTTGGTCTATAATTAATTATCTCCATGTCACCAGTATTTACATGCATCTTCGTAATTGAGCATATGTGTATTATAAGATACAATCTTATTTTTTTTTGGGTTGTGATTATGTGCAGATGGCCAGGTCTGATTGATGCATCTGTAGTGTGTGTGTGTGTGTGTGTGAGTGTGAGAGGCTGCTGACATGCCGTCGGGCATGGATATAAACATGGTGTGAAGGGGCGGTGTGACACTGAACAATGCCTGAGGGAGCCTCATTAAGGTTGCCGCGTTCTGCGGCGACTGTAATACCAATGAACCACTCCCTGTCAGCTACAGCACAATACTAGAGGGTGCACAGGCAGGCGGAGCACTCTTCAAGTTCACTGCTGCTTGAGAGTGTGTGTGGGTCTGTGTGTGCGCGCACGGTGTTGAGGTGTGTTAGAAGCTGTTGAGCGCCAATTGAATGGTGATATTCGTGTCTGTCAAAACATTTTTTGGGTGTGCATTGTTTGCACCATTAGCATTCGCAGGACTGTCTCACTACACACACACACACACACACACACACACACACACACACACGGAGTCCGAGTGATAAAGCCATTCGGCTAAGCCAAGGCTGCACTGTCCGCTTAGCAGCTCTGGTTATAAACCCTGGAGTGCCCGTGGCCAGACTCCACCGCACCGCTGTCAGAGCAAGAGTTACACTCCAGTGTGTGTGTGTGTGTGTGCGTGCGTGCGTGCGCATGCATGTGTGTTTGATAGCTGCAGGACTAGGGCTGAATTACAGAGCAGTCTTCATATTTTTCCATCTCAGACTTTTAGCTGGCACTCTTATTTGCAGCAGCCTGAATTGGCACCACTTCTGCCTTGAATCTAGGAGGAATGAGGGCAAGATCCAGAGCCACAGCACCGAGATGATACTCCTGACACACATGAACAACCATGTTAAAAAATGCTGGGTGCATTTAGAGAGAGATGAGGCAAAAAGAAGAGCAGAGGGGTAAAGATGAGATCTCAGATATACAGTAGGTTAAAAAGATAACGGGTGATTCTGTCTCCAGATGACCAGGACACAGTAATAGATTATCTGGCTACAAGGTGCACCTTTCCAATCTGCAGATGTGAGTAATCATGTAAATGCCATCAACATAGATGAAAGCCTTGGGCATCTCTTGTCTGTTTGCTAGTGCCAAAGAGATATGCTACAGGCTGGAGAAGACATTTCCTCACAGATTTGCTGAGATGTCAATTAAAACCTCTAGTATTCAAGAGTCAAGCTAAAAGGACTGAAGTTCCTCTTTACTCACTATATCAGTGTGTATGAGAAAGCATTTGTAAGAAACGACAGCATGCATGTTGAGTTGTTAGGTTAGCCTTAACACTCAGGATCCATGGTTTTGTGAGGCAGTTTGAACAAAAGCAACGCACCAAATGGCGACTCTTCTGTGGCGCATCCCTCCCACCCGTCGTCAGCTCCCGTCTGTGGCTATTGCTGCAGGGTCAGGTGCTGTGAGAAGCAGGAATTTAAAGTGAGTAGGGATTTCATTTGACCTTTTTGGCTGGCACAGGGGGGGTCACACCAGCACCGTGTAGTTTTTGAGGCTTTTGGCACCATTGGGCGCCAGAGTCAGCGTGGCACTTCGCCCGCACACTGAGACAGAGATTAGAGGAGGAGGGACAGGCCGGCAGAGAAGCAGGGTGACATTGGTCAGTTACGTACTGTTTGTTTTTGTTTGTTTGTTTGTTTTTGTTTTTGTAGGAAAATGTCGAACTGATATAATTTTAGTGCCTTATATTAATGAGATTACCTTTTAGTTTTGGACTACTACTTTTGACAGAACTAGACATTAGAAGACATCACTTTGAGCTTTAGGAATAGCCACTTTTCACAGTTTTCTGACATTTCTGTTTTCTGACATCGATCAAACAATCGATTTTATTAATCGATTGTTTTGAGCAAGAATTTGGGAAATTAATAATTATTTGTAGCCCTAATTTGATATTTATCAGCCTCATTTAGCAAATGCAGCCAATAAAGTAAAGTAATAATGTCATTTTCACAACAGAGTAGCTAATCAGGTAACAGTTCCACACACATGGAGTAAAGAGAGAGTTCAGTAATAAAGATGTCACATTTGCAGTATCAGTAAACATATTCTTCAATAGTGTCAATATTTTGCGGCTCTGCTGCAGTTGCTGTGTCAGATGTCTGCCCTGCCCAACTAGTGTCACCCTGCAGTTCAGCTAGAAAGGAATTTGCTGGAAAATAGAGACTGTACACTGGACGGTTTGAAATTTATGTGCCACCAAATGGCAGAGGATTTTCAGCTGAGAAATGCTATCTTCCCCCACTGCTCTCTGAATTCCTAATGCTCAGTTTTTACGAGGTTGGCAGGGGTGCCTTCTCCTGTTGCTGCTGCACACCCATCATGTTCATCCATTATTTATGGCACATAGGCACGCATGGGCCCAGAAATACACACTCAACGCACTTACATTTTGCTCTGACACACAAATATTTCAGAGTTGCTGACATCCTGACTGCTGTCAGTACATGCAATGTCAGTGTCAGTGCCACTCTGAACCTTTGGCCTCTCACCCCCAGCACTGCAGCGCTAACCCTGTGTCTCTTTGGTCGGCAGGTCAGCAGGGGTCATGAGGGCGTCGAAGGCCCCAGTTGCTGTTCAGAGCAGCTGAAGCAGACATGGGCAAAGACGTCTCGGATGGCATCGGTAGGCTCGGCCTCATCGACTTCACCAGCTACATCCTCCTTCACCACAACCACCAAAGGCTACAGCGAAAGTACGTGTCCTGTTTGTTTCTGTTTGACAACGATAGTCAGGAAATCTGATAAAGTTTCCAAGTTTAGAACCAACTGAAACCAAATTTACAGAAATACAATTGTGGGTTTCCATCCATCACTGTTATGTCAGTATGAGCAACTGGTGGCACTAATTCTCCAGTCAGTTGCCTTTAAACCACTGCAGAAGAAGAGTGCATGATGAGATGACATCATTTAAAGCTTGAGTATGAAGCCACGTGCATCGTGTACATCAGCATTTATTGGTCATTGTTCATTATGCTTTCCCAATTTGACTCTATTTCCACAGGTTTGTTTGTTTGTTTGTTTTTAACTGAAAATGCACATTATTCAAAGATTCTTACATTGTGAAAGATTTGGATAATTTCACTGATGGTTCATTTAGATGTGAGAGCAATAAGCATATGTAAATATGAAAGTTTTGTCATGACATGACAATTGTATTGAAATATTGCCTGTCTTAGTTAAAAAGGAGCCCTTTCGTGGTTATATAGCAGAATATAGAGATTATTCACAACAATCAACAAACTAGGATGTGAGAACAGTTTGAGGTCATGGGCATGTTGAGACATGGAACTCATTGGTCTCATTTAAACTCAACACACTACAGTAAATCTCCTGCATTTGAACAATAATGTCATTCTCTGTCAGGTGCTTTAGTACAATATTAACCAAAATATTGACTTGAATTTAAAATATTGACTTGTGGAGCAGTAAGAAACCAGAGATTTATTCAGGTCAAGCACATTTATTACAGCATTACACATGATGGGTTTGAGTTGAAGCACCGTCAGCTGATGAAGGCAAATAGCTGTCATTAATCTGAGTGGATTTTCCATAATATAACCCTACAGTATTAAGCTGGCCATAAATATATATAAATAGGAAAAATATGGTGATGTTCGTTTTCAGTCTCACTCATAAGAGGCCAATTTGCTACTCCCTGAGTTCCCAGACGTTCAGATAATGTAACACTAATGATCAAATGATGATCCATATTACTTATGCAGTCAAAAACATCAGGGATTCTAAACAGGCACACGGTGCAATTACCTCAGCCAAGAGAGATGAGAATGAAATTCAAATGCGTCAAAGGTCTGAAGTCAAATTTAGTCCAACACTCCAGTCCCATGATAAAATGTGTTTGGAAGAATGAGTGATTCGGTGAGGGACAAAATAGCTATCCATCACACGCCCGCTCTTGAAAATATCTGTCCAATATTGCAAATCTTCAACGGAGTGACACGAGGGACTTCACTCATCAAAATGTCAGCAACAGACAGTAAATATTCAAAGGCGTGCACTGCACTCTGGAGTATTAAGCTGTTTTCTTTCTGAATGTAAAAATAATGTAAAGCAGCACCCAGTGTCACTTTTGTCAAACCTCTGACAGGTCATTGAAATTCAACATCTGACTCTGCAGTGCCCCGCTAAATTCCAGCTAACCTCTTAGCCTCGCACAGCAGGGGCTTAGAGGTATGTTCGCCTGGCAGAGGAGCTCAGGAGAGTGGCGGACCTCACTAGAAGTCTATTACTCTGACATAGAGCAATTGGATGCCACCTCTTAAAGAGAGCAGCTCCCGCTTGCTGTCTCATCTCTTTTGGGATTGAGATAAACAATCAAGTCTCAGCCAGCCGCTTTGCTGCTCAGCCATCAGATAGGAAAATGGCTCTGATCATCACCCGACAAATAGGTAGAGGCCCCGCTGATTGGCGAAGGCTGGAGCACACAGGTAGCCAGTCACGTACACACTTAAGCCCAGGAAAAGTGCTGTCATGCGTGGATCCAGTTTTTGATGTGCAAAGTGAATTTGATGAGCCCATTTTTAATTAACCTATTAATCATAGCTCTCATGTACCAGATGTCTGCCCTCCCTTTGCGTGTGTGTTTCGCTGCATGGGGCCAGGCTGCATAATTAGGGCATATCAACAGGATGAACTCGCACCATGACTTCAACAGAGGGAGGTCATGGCTTTACACAGATAATACCTGGAATGGACCATAGGTGCAACACAGCTGCCGTTCCAGCACCAGCATCAATGTGACGTCCTTTTAATTTGAAAACTATGCTTTTTTTTTTTATTCTATCAAGTCAAACTGCCTATACAGCATACTGTGGAGACAGAGGAATTTTTTGTGTTTCTGTCAGTTATTACTATTTCTGGACCAAGTAGACACAGACAGTCATCTAAATGTGTTTGATCTGACAAGCAAACTGTCTTCGTGCCTCTTTTTGTCCAATCATGTCCACTGTCACTCGCTGCAGACCTGAGAGACAACACAGACTGATGTTCACACACTGTGTCAAGGACGCAAACTTTCTCCTCCATACTTCTGCGTAGACCTTTCTCATGGTTGTCAAACTCGGGTGCAGTGGATAACATCAATAATATCTGAAGTCCATTTAGATATGGAGCCATTTGTATTGTTACATCTAGTTTTTCCTGCTATAACAACTCTAATTGTCCACCATAAAAACGGTTGTTAGGCTGTGCCAAGGGAAATTTGCATCTTTACACACAGGGCAAATCACAGTTATTACTCCTGCAGTATCGTGCCTTTCTCTTTCAAATAGTACCCAAAAGAGAAACGGAGAGTAAACGGGCATTACTAAGCACTTTTCAGACAAGATGTGAACCACACCAGGGATAAAGAACAGCTGTTTTGCTGTGGCCCTGCTGTAATGATCCAGTGTGAACAAGTAAGTTTCATTGCTTTTATGATAAATGCTCTTTTTACTAGATAATACACCACATTTATATACATTTTTCCAATATTTTTGACCTGTAATATTGTATTGACTGATTATTACATCCTTGTACACTAATACATGGATTAGGCTGTTATTATTATTAGTAGTAGTAAGTTATTTTTATCTCTTGCCTTTCATACTCAAGAGGAAGAGTGGATGAAGATGATGACTGATGGATGATGCCGCCACAAACACTGGGCCAGCGTCAAATTCTCAGTGTTTTTACTGCATCCTGTCAGAAAGATGTTTTCTCCATTCATCTGTGTCTCATGTCTTTTAATATGTTGATTCTGGATTCATAAATATGTTGTTTCTGAAATAATAAATCTGTGTTAATCTGTGAAAAAGTGTGCTGGTATGGTGTTAGTTACACATTCTTGCCCATTTTCATAAGCTGTGTGGAAATAGGAGGGAGAACTGACACAAATTTAGAAGTGGAAGAAGGCTAATATTTAGAGGTATAGAATTCATGCAGTGTGTAGTTTTTTTTACATGAACACAACTTGCACAAGAATATTTTTACGTATTCCTTAATTTATTTGAATTTTTCTAAAGAATAAATGTGCAGTGTATGTGATAAGCCAGATTGCAGTTAACAAATTTGAAACTCTTGTCACTGTGTTGTAAAATTATACTTTGTGGTTTGTAGGCTGTAACTCAAGGCTTTGAAAATTCAGTAAAAGGCAAAGACAGTGTAGAACTCTCATCTTAACATGCAACTTAAATTAACCTTTTGATTCTTATTTTATTTTGTCAAAGAAAGCAGCCCTTACCAACATATTCCTGTCTTTCAGGTTGTCTGTATTTTCCAGCATCTCCCAGTAAAACTTTGCAATGAGAATGTCTGATACCGCTGACACTGAAATGATGAAGGTTTCTGAAGCCACCAACCCGGCGGCGTTCTCTCCCCAAGACAACACCACCAAGTCTGAGATTTCGGACCAGAGCCAGAGCAGCAAAGACGAACACAGTAGCAACAATAAAAGGGAAAATCAGGTAAAGAACTGTGACATCTATCACTGAATGGGATTTATGTCATATGATACCTACCAGATATGTCATATATATACCTACCACTGACCAGAGCTGTACTTTGTGAATGATTGAGCACTTGAATGGAAGTGCCAGTTTCAGCTCGCTTTTTTCTGCATTTCTTTAACCATACTACAAGTGTCTAATCAGAGAAGTTAGAGTTGTCAGCATTCTGACCAGGCCTGCACTGAGCGGAGGACACGTGACACTTCACCAAACATTTTCACTTTTCTCCGCACTCACTAACAGTCAATGTCAAACACAGACTGCCCTGGGGATCCCTTGTCACCTGCGGCGTTCAACATGATTTTCCCGGCTGCTTCAGCAAGCAGAATTGTTCCTGAAAAGTATCATCTGCACAGACTGAATTCATAATGTGGGACTTGCCATAGCAGCGAGGTCAGGCTGGGTGATGTGCTTCACTCCTGTCCGCCTGGCTGTGGGGAAACTTTCGAGTGTGTGGAAAAGGTGATTTGGAGATATAAACTAGTGAAGCTCACGAATCCTCATCAGTGATAATAAGCAGTGGATCTTCTGGGGATTCAGGACAGCTGAGAGCACTTTCAAATAAACTGCTAATTAATTAGGTCTCTGTGTCATTGCAACAAATGTGCTTTGGGACTGCAGAAAATTTGCACTTGTTAATTTGGCTTTAAATCAAAAATGGCACTGACTGGTTTGTGTTCACAGAGGAACGGACACCAAAGGGCGAGAATAGTGAAACAATGTAAACTTTCTTCAAGTGTGGTCAAGGGAACAAAATCCAGGAATGGATCGTCTCTTTGGCTGCAACCTAGAAATAGCATTCAGGCCAATCTGGCCTTGTGGTTGGAAGCAGGCAGAGCTAGGGAGTCAGGCAGGCAGATAATCTGGAGCTCAAATCCTGGCTTATCTACCAACTTCCTGTGTCTAAGGTACCACGAGGAACAGAGTGACACCCGTGTGGGGGAGAAAGGAGTAGGGCACAGGAGGAAGAGGGGGGGAGGGATGTACTGAGAGACATGATTCACAGCTCGTTTTTGTTTTTGCTCAGTCTGACCAGAACAGACTGAGCTGAAAAGAACTTCAGTAAAGTGTGTAACTTTTGAGAGACAAAATGACACATTCTTCTTGGAAAGGAAAAGTTGACTTCATCAGCAATAAAACCCACTATTGCTCAATTCAGTACACTCAGAGGTTTTGCTGCCACAGCCTTTACTTGTTGCTACTGTTGGCTAACTATAGATTTTACTGAGTAATGTGCTGAGTTTATGACTCTTCTCTAGAGATGAGTACTGTTAGGACTTTACCGATACTTATCGAACAATCCTCTGGCAAATAGTTACTTTTAATCAATAATCCATGTTCATATAATTCTGTGTGCATGCTCCAGGCTGCTAGCTTACATAACATACCAGGACAACAAGAGACTGCAGGCTAGGTAGACAAAAACTGTGCATGCGGGGATCTTCACTAGATGCTTCCACAGATTGCTCATGTTTGCGCCTTTTCATGGGAAAGATTTGCTGCAATGAGCATTGTCAGTACCAACCGTAGTGTAATGTAACAACACATACTGTGGTTAAATCCACTGTGTGTGCATGCTGCAGGCTGTTGCGGTGTGGGAGACAGAGCTCCTCCCGCCCCTCGCACTCGGGCTCCAAAAGGCAGATCAGTCTTCTCGTTTCGGAAAAGCACAAATGCATTACAGATGAATGTATTAATCAGAAATAGTTGATGGGATAAAATGGGCAAGATAACTTTTATGTAGCAATAATCAATAGGAAATCTGTTTTCTCAACTTCTTCAGTACCCCTAGTGGAACCGTTAACTTCAGGGCTTATTGATACTACACTATGTAATAATTTAATACCGGGCATCGGGACCATCCCTGCTCTTCTATACTTGTGCTACACTACAGTTAGCACATTATAGCTCAGTCGGGTTACCTAAATGTGATGTCTTTTTAAAGAAACAGGACAACATTTTGGGTAATACACCTATTTGCTTCCTTGCTAAGAGTCAGATGAGAAAACTGATACCACTCTGTCTGTATGCCAATTATGTAGCCAGAGAATCAGCAGCCTATTGGCTTGGCTTGGCTTAGCTTAAAGACGGGAAGCAAGGAGAAACAGCTAGCTTGACTCCTTTAGAACAATGAAACTGATGCTGTTACTACACTAAATCCAAGCATTTCATAATTTTAACCAAGAAAAGAGTTAAAACTAGTAATTGAAACTGGGGAGGCTTTGGTAAGATTCTTGACATGTCTGTTTGAACTTAGACAAGCTGCTCTTTGCCTCTGAATTCATATTGTTGTTTGTCAGTATTTATATCCCTGAATAGCTACGTACCTTTTGCTCCTTTTCCTAAAACTCACCATGTCATAATTAGTTCCTGGTTATAGCCAAGATACGCTGACAGCACTGCAGCCCTGTCCTTTCTGCTTGTAATTTTCAGGAGTAGAGGAGGTGAAGCTAATTCTGTCGTTCTATTTAAGGGCACCTGTTAAATGCCTGACATGTTCATTCTGAGAGAAATGGAGGTGGTAGGGAACGGGGATAGAGAGCAGAGAAGCGTTCCGACCGAGGAACAAAGGAAGGGAAGGCTGGGTGACTTTGCCTCCATTTGCCTGCAGCACTCCTGCTCCGTCCTCTGCGGCAGGACAGGTGGCTGGTGGCCGCCCTACTTCCGCTGACTTCAGCCCTTTCCTTCTCCCCCTCTCCTGTTCCTTTATATCCTGCCGGCATTTATCATTCCCCACCGGCCTCACGTTGCTCAATTAGCTGGTGTAGCAGTGCGCTCAGTCCCAGCCCTCGCTTGCTCCCCTCCCCACGCCTCCCCTTTCTCCACATCCATATTACCTGATATAGAAAGGGGGGCGGCAGGTCACAGGCATTGGAGACGGGCAAGCAGAAGTCCATTTCAATTTTTTATAGGTATGATTTGGCCCTCAAGCTCGGTGAGTGAGGGGAGGGGTTGTCCTTTTCATTTATAGAGGACAGGTCAGAAGGACAGAGCTGTGTGTGTGCACGTTTGTGTATGTGGATACATGTTGGGATTAGGAAGCAGAGGACTGGGCTGTGTTGCAATTTAGACAGAAATGGTTCCTGCCAGGTCTCCCCCCCTCCTCCTGTTTATACATCCATATACACACACACACAGGGCCACTAGCCCGTGAAGCGCAGAGGCACCAAGCTGTCTCACACACTATTGCGCGTCTGGTCTCTCTCTGCTTTCTGCTGCTCACCTCCAGTGGTTGGGTCTGATTCGCATCACAGCTAAATGGAGCTGGGAGCAACGCGTAAAACTGACCCAAATCTATCGCAGCCAAATGTCTGCCTTTTTTCTGCAGTGTGTGTGCCTGTCTGTGTATGTTTGAATGAGTGTGTCAGAAAGGAACCCTACAGTGCAACTGTTCTAGTAGCATATGCTCTGCAGAAATTAATTCATGCCCACAGAAAATGGTTAATGTTCAACTTGAGATGCTGCAAAGCAAATTTTTATTTTATTTTCAACACCACCAAACTTTGTTCTGTGTTCCTGAATTTTTCATTTTCAGGGATTTTTTTTTGTTTGTTTTGTTTTTTGTTTTTTTGTCTTGGTATGAATCGTGCTCTTTTGCAGAGCCAGTAGTGCAGACAGGTGCAAATGTAGCCCAGTAATATATAATTAAAGCTTCTGCGCTTTTTAAAGTAACAGCCCAGTTTCCCTTCCAAACCTCTGTGGTTTGTTTTGATTTTTTTTTTCCTGTGCACTCCTCCCCTACCTTGTGGACAGCCTGTGAAGTACTCTAAGGTACGGTACACTTGACATGCATGTTGTGCAAGAATGCTCCAGTCTGTCTCACGTGCTCTTGGCTTGCGTTGTTTGCTTGGATTGAGTTGGAAGATGTACCTTTGTTTCCTGTCAAGCAAGTTATCACCATACGCATTGCTGTAGACGGTGGCTTCATTGCAATATGTTGATATGCCACTATATGAATGATAGTGGAAGTTGTAGTGTGAAGTATGGCTAATAAAATCAGTGGACATTTCTTTTGTGGCTGCTACACTGCTGTTCCCCCAGGAAAAACATTACAAGGCTTTATATAAAAATGTTTACTCCTTTTTTTTATGTAAGATTGATTTGATCAAGTTACCTGAGATGATCTGCATCCAAAGGTCTACGATCATCCTGGCAATAACAGCTCAGTCGCTCCAGGAAAGATTTGTCAGCTAAAATGTGAAATACTGAAACTGTATGATTTGCTTACAAGAATCGATCATGCTCATTGGCTGTTTTTGTTTTCCTTTGGCTTGGCACTGTGATGTGGAATGATACTGAGGCAGGTGTGTGTGTGTGTGTGTGTGTGTGCGCATGGTTTTAACTATGCCCACCTACCTGATCCCCTCCCCTTAGTCCAACACCAGGCTAAAGCTTGTGCGGAGCCTGGCGGTGTGTGAAGAGTCCTTTCCTTGCCCTATTCCTGAGCCTTCAGCAGCAACTCAGGTAACAATCTCCCTGTATAGTCAGAGTGTATTTGCATTAGAGATGTGCTAATATACATTCTGATGATAACACCACCGTAAACTTTATATAATCTAGCCATGACTTTCTGTGCTAACATCAGCCGGTTCACCTGAAGCACAGCGAGTTTGAGTGTTGAGTCGTAATGTTCAGTGAGAGAGAGCTGCACTTTGTGTAACTAAAACATGTAGACAACATTACATTCTGCTTCAGCAGTTAGCCTCATCCTCTGGCTGTGGTGTTTGTTAGTACAAGTGGGACATGGTCCATTGCTATTTATGGTGTAACATCTGCCATTTAACTCTTTAACACCCAGCAAGTAAAATTAACTTAAAGTTCTTGCATTTGAGAAACTTATAAACTGATGGTCAGAACCATAGACTATATATAAATACAGTCTATGATCGGATCTTAAACTGACTGCAAAGGAAACAAAAATATTTTACACTGTAAAACTTAATTTTATTCAGTGAACATCATGGGGCCAAAATGTGTACAAGTGATCAACACATTTTTAGTTTGCACATTAAAAAAAAGTCATGAGCTATAATATTATAATTTTGGGGATCCAGATTTTGCTAAACATTTTTCACAGCATTTGAGATTTGACCAAAATTGCTCCAATCACATTATCTTCTGCTAATACGGTTGTTGAAACTGACTAATCACAATCAGAACATGTATGTAAATATAAATGGGTGCATAGAATCCAGACAAAACGGACAGTTTAACTTAGTCTTACAGTAATCAACCTGCTTTTGTGTCTGTCCAACAAAGTTGTCATAAACACTTCAGTTTTAGTTTTTAATGAAATCTAAGTCAATCATGATGTAGCATTTGAACTCTGAATATTAGAATAATACAGTTTACAGTTTATTGTAAAATTGTTGCCATTGTATCCTGAAAATCCCTAATTTACATGCAGAATTTTCTCCATCATCTCATCAAGCCCAGTGTGACGTAGGTGATTCTCAGCCCAGGTCATTAAGATAAAAACTCAAATGCATGTTGCTGAAGTGCTGGCCTGGGATCAGTTCTTCATTTCAGCTCATTACAGTGGAGCAGGTAAACCTCTGTTGCTCGATTAGCATCCTTAGTCTGACAGCTATGATTAAATACCTGGCCGTGACCGCCTGATGAAGACATCGTATCATCAAAACAAAGCTGAGAGCTCTGATGGTGAGCTGGCTGGTACATTGCTAAATCAACTCTTCTTCTGTACTGGATCTGCAGGCAAAGCCCTAGCTGGGCAAGCTTTCTCCATTACCTCCTGGCATTCTTTCATACATGCACTTGTATGTACGTTTGTGTGTGTGTATATGTTATATATGTGTGTGTGTGTGTGTGTGTATATACATTTTTTTATATATATCTATATATAGATATATATGCGCACAAACAAACACGCAGGTGTGTTGGTTCCCAGCGTTTCAGCCAGTCAGCACCGAGCGCCATAACCAGAGGGCGGTGTTATTCCCACAGCAGTCTCGCATCGTCTGCACTCACACGACGTCCTGTATTACTGCCATCAATCATGTCGAGGAAATTACAATTTCCACACGTCAGCTACAGAGAGCTGTGGAGCGCTCTAATTGAATACCTCTGATATTTCCCCCGCTACTGTTATTGGGCCCGGAGTCGAGACTCCTTCTGCGGCAGCCTAACCTAGAGGGACGAGGTAAAGCAATAAAGAAAGAAGAGAACACATTAGTGGGGTACACATTCAGTTTCAAGATCACTGATTCTCATTCAAACCTTGAGATTATCAAATCTAAACATTTCCCGTTAACCATTTTTATATTATTGTCTCCTCTGTCAGAGTGTAAGCATTAACAGAGAGCTGTATCGATCTATAGACTGTCCCGCCTCCTGAAATACCGCATCTATCCTTGCATTGTATGCCTGGCTGTCAATTCCAATCAATGGCCAGTAGTCAGGGGTCTCTGAATACACGCCATACTTTTTGTCTGACTGACAGCACATTCATTACACATTCAGAAGACCATCATTTTCACGCTGTTTTTCCTTTATCTTGCGGTAAATGGATGTCAGGAAACAAATGAGGCAGCTCGCAACAGCTGCACATAAACCAGGCGGCCTCCGTGTGATGCAGAGGGTGGCATTAAGTAGCAAGCATCACCGCTGCTTCCAAGAAAATCCTTTTGCTTTGACAAACACACGCACACACGAACTCGCTGTCACTTGTACAACGCACAGTCCTAGACTTCTTTTCGTTTTCCCAAGTCTAGCTCAGGCAATTAGTCAGTCACGTTTCTCATTAGCATATTACATTTTCACATATATTCATCACATCTTGAAGCAAAGGAGAACATGGTGCCTCATTATCTGGCTTCACAGCTGTTACTGGGATCAAACCCCCGACCTTTTTTGGTTATGAGCTGCTCTCCCACCATTAGGTCACCCCTGCCCTCGCTCATTCATTCATCCCCCTCTCTCACTCACACACACACACACACACACACAGACGTTCTGATGTTAGCTTTCCAGAGTTGTGTTTAATCCACTTACTGTGCACTGGCAACCCCTCTCCTCTCATCAGCTTTCCTTTACAACCGTTGTTGAATTGCCTGAAAAGCAAATCAGATACTGCTCTGAGTCAAGCACATGTGAGTGTGTGAGTGTGGCAGGGAAGAGCATGACTGGGGAGAAACCGAGGCTGTTTTAAATAGGTCTCTGAAAACATCCACACCAGTGTTCCAGCCAGAGTGCAGCAGTCAATTGTTTTATTTTCAGTTGGAGGGGGATTACAGCTAACTCCTCATTCTATTGAATTTTAAGGAATGAAATATGCTGTGTTTAATTTCTGGCTCAAACCCATGAATTATTCACGTGGTTTAATAAAAACAAGATAATCTGACAGATTAATTGCCATAGTGATTTAGAATTCATGCACACGTCAGCCATATTAAAAGGTTTCAATAATAAGTGGAGAGAATTAAGTGTCTCACAGTGGCCTCTCTTGCCCATGCTGTAGTTGACCTGGAACCTGAATTCTCAAGTTCATAGACAATTGGGTCCCTCCTATTTGATGCCTCCTATCTAAACAAGTGTCTCATATCAGAACAGACCCAGGTCACATCTAGTGTTTGACACTTTTGTACAATGCTGTCATTATTGTACTTGTGTGTGGTAACGAGCTGACATCTCATAAAATGGTTGCATTGAGGCCATTGGGTGAACACACACGGTCCACTATGTAATAAACAACAATTTCAAACATATACTTCTGAATGCCAACAGTTTTTCAGGTATTTTTCTTCCCCAAACAGGATGGATTCCTTCTTCAGCCCCTTGAAAAGGAAGAACCAGCTGCACAGGACCAAGCTGAGAAAGAGGACAGCTGTGACAAGGTGGAGAAACCCGAGAAAACACAGAGAAAAATGCTGTCGAGAGGTGAGGAATGCAAATTATTATTTTTTTTTTTCCAGAAGTATTATAGGGTGTTTTTGTTTTTGTGTTTCTGTTTTAGAAAATTGGTGGTTGGTTTTTTGTTTGTTTGTTTTTTTTGCTTTTATTTATTATTTCTTATTATTTTTATATATTTTAACATGTCTTCAAACCATCAAGGACAGCCCCACCTTTATACAGTTTTAAGTATATTTAGTTTTAGTCATAACCCTTCACATAGCCCTGGTCAGATGAGTGTCAGACTGATTTGCCATCGCAGTCACAGGAGCTGAAATATATTCTTTATGTTATAAACACCTGGGACCTAATTTATAAACATTGCTTACTTCCAACAAGGAACTTGAACAATGAATGTGATTTTCCATCCAAAAATTGAATATCATATATGTATATATGAGATATCATTTTGACAGCGTGTTAGTGGCAACATTGAAGTATTGAAATGAAGCCAAATACTTTAATGATACTTATCACACAATCCATGTCACTCAGCCAAATTACAGCCTTCTAATAATTATATCCTTTACCATGTCACATGGAACATCCGATTCTAAACATTTTTTTCCCCCGGTGTGGTGCCCTGCAGTTTGTCCAAAACCACTTCTCCATTTTAAACGACATCTCATTATGGGCCGATAATTGGCGTGATTCAGTTAATTGCGGCAAGCTCAAGGTGTGAAGCAATTACACAGATTCCCACAGGCGTATAAAGGTGCCTGCTTCCCTCTGTGGAGCAACACCACTGATGAGGCAGACTCCAATTATAGAAACCAGACACCCACCAAGGGGAGCAAGCTCCAGTGTCCCCAGACTCCCACTGATGGGTCCTGTCCTTTTTGTTGGTGTGCAGGAACATGTTTTTGGTGTCAACTTTGTTACCCACCCACTTCTTCATTTCTTAAATGGTTGAGCTGGCAGTGTTCACTGCTGCTGGTAGAAGCTGCCATGTTTTGTTTTTTTATATTGGGCACACTAATAACAGCCAACAAACAACATGGTCCTCTACAGTGTCGCCCTCAGTGAGGTTTCTCTTTTCTGATGTGCAGCCTCACAAACAACTGAATGACAAGCTGATTAGTTTCCATATCAGTATTCACAAAGGGCTGCTCATTAACGGTTTAGCATTGATTTGAGGAGTTAACGGGCCGGAACACTTCAAGTTCCTTATTATCCATATCAAGAAACAAAAATTCTATTGACAAAATTGCATCTAATTGAGCTGAAGGACCTTTTTATAGACCAGAACATATTTGAGGTAGGCGCCAACACATTACCTAACGCCGACAATTTTTTTGCACATTAACGCAGTTTTGTTTATTATTATTATTATTTTGAAAGTCCGTTGCTCACTCGTTCTGAATACACATGCAGACCGACAATGGGTCACAGGAGGGGTGGGATGTTGATCAGTGCTGGCTTGGGATGAGCGTCATCACGTGTCTCAACTAATGAAGTGGGGTGGGCCTAAGACTGCTGCAGCGTGCACATGAACTGGACGCACCATCACCTTGGAGAATACACGAGATGTTATGAAAAGGAGAGGACTATAAAAGTGACGGCATTACAACATGCACCAACTGTTGCTCTCACTGGAGACTACTGGACATCGCTGGGTAAACCATAATTACCTCGGAGTGCAGTGCATTATATTGATGAACAGTGGGAGCTGCATTCACATGCTCTGACTGGAATGAAAACAGAAGAGAGACATTTGCTGAAACGTGCGCAGAGCATTTCATTCATGTTGCACAGCAGTGGAACGTTTCAGATAAAGTCAGCACACTTAGCACAGATAGTGCAAGAAATATGATCACTGCTGCAAGACACCTGCCTTTTGAACACGTCGCCCACAGTCTCCATCGTTCTGTCAGTTTCTCTGCAGAACAGTGCGTTTGACAATGTGTTATGGCCCACGTTAAACACAGTCCAGTAAGTGCTGCAGAATTAGAACAACAAATTGAACACCTTATTTGTTTAAAGTGTTTGCAAACCCAATGTTATTGCACTTTTGTTCATATAGCAGTACTTTTAAAATAAAAGTGCGCAATACACTACCTTTGAATTCATTATTGAATGCTGCTCATATCAATGCAGTTAATCATGATTAATCACCGAAAATCATGCTGTTATAACGCGATTAGGGATTTTAGTTGTTGCCCAGCACTAATTTGAATTTATCTGTTTTGTGTATGATCTGTGATGCAGTGCCTTAATTTCAAAGGTCAACTTGTTGATCACTGAAAAAAGATTTTTGTGTTTTTTGATTAGATTCCAGTCAGGACTACACAGATTCAACTGGTATAGATCTTCACGAGTTCCTGGTCAACACACTGAAGAGCAACCCCAGGTATGCTCAGAACAGGCTTAAATAAAACTACTGCAGCGAAACATTGACCCCTAAAGGCCGTGAGTCTAAAATGGAGGGGGCAGTCGGAGCATTGTAGCTACGTTGCATCATCCACTTTTTTCCAACCTCTGTATGAGTAAAGTATGAGCATTTGTTTGCAGACAGTTGTAAGACTTTAGAGAGCTATTATGACTGACTGACATGTTGCCAACTGGCTGGCATGTTAGCAGTTAGCTTTCCTGCTACATCTTACAGTTACAGTTGAACAGTAACAAGCTACAGTTTGGCCTCTTGCCCTGCGTGTAGACCCTACTTCACTAAACTTTTAGAACTACATATTTCATGAAGACTCTGAGACATTTTGCTGTGCTATTTTGGGGTGTCTGGGCCTTTAGTGTTGTTTTGACTAGCTATCGAAACACTTATCTTTCTTATGGCCTGAGTAGTAAAAAGATTATGAATCCAGTTTTGAAGTCCTTGGTGTACATTTACTTTTTTTATTTATTTGTTTTTCAGGGATAGAATCATGCTACTGAAGTTGGAACAAGACATCTTGGACTTCATCAGCAATAACGAGTAAGAAATATGATATTAACGAGGTTTTCATTCAGGTTCTTATCCTAACTGCCTCAGCACCTGGTTTCACTCAGCTGAACCCGTTTAACCAGTGAAGGAAACTGGATCACTGAACCCAGCTGCTGTAGTTTTTGGTGTGAATAAAAACCTACAAATTCTTCTATCAGTTAAAAATGTGTCCTAAGTTGAGTTTGAGGTAATGGAGTTTGGTAGAATATGAGTGCAGAAGGATGCTTAGACTTGCAGATGGGCTGTACTCAGTGCCGCACAATTAAGATCCGGCTGTTTTAATTGTGTCTGCTCTGTGGGATCTCTAGCTGTGGTCATCAGATTTATTCAGGATGCCTATTAGTGCTGTAGCCATGTTTGTCTAAAGCCGCTGAGGGCCCCGGGTTTTCTTCCAGCAAACTGCTTTGAAACATTTTCAAAACAGACCCAAGAGCAGTTATATCCTTACAAAGTAAACCCCCACCCCACTTGCTGAGCTCCTCATTACAGGCTGTAATTGTGACAGATTTTTTCCCCACCAGCATATTGATTTAAGACCAATTCCCACATTTGTGTCTCCCTCTAGAAGCCAAAAGAGAAAGTTCCCACCCATGACGTCCTACCATAGGATGCTATTACACCGAGTGGCTGCCTACTTTGGCATGGACCACAATGTGGACCCCAGTGGAAAATCAGTGGTGATCAACAAAACCACCAACACTAGAATGTGAGCCTCTTTGATCTATTGATGTTTTTCATCTTCTTACAAGTTAAATCAATCTTTAAATTCCAAACTCAGAACATTAATGGATCTCTTATTATACTACGTTATCACGTTGCTTGTTAATTAGTAGTAAATGTTATGCAGCCATAGACTTTGGCAATCAGTCCACAGATAAGCTGGTTGCCTGCACTGTTTGTTGGTTAACATATGTTGCTGTCAGCATCTGCCTGAAATTAAGCTGCCACTAAAACTCCTGTGAATTTCTTCTCCGACAGTCCCGATCAGAAATTCTCAGAGCACATCAAGGATGACAGGGTGGACGATTTTCAGAAACGCTACATTCTCAAACGAGACAACTCCAGCTTTGATCGCGAAGACAGCATGGTAGGTGTTTTTTATTTTTTTCACCAAGCTGTCACTTTTATTTTTGACATGTTGGTAAGAGTGGGACAATCTGGCGTCCCTGACATAGCTGCTAAAGAAGAGAGTTTGTGTGTATGTTTGTGTCTGCGTGTGTTGTGCGTCCTTGCCAGATACGAATGCGTTTGAAAGCTGACAAGAGGAGCAAATCGATGGAGGAGAGGGAGGAGGAGTACCAGCGAGCCAGAGAAAGGATATTTGCACATGATGTGAGAGCTGTTTGTGTATCAGAGCTGTGTGTGTAGGTGGGGTGGGGGGTGGGGAGCCATGTTGCACAAATCTTTGTGTCGTTCCTATTCATGTGCAAATTCAGTAGATTTCTTGCTAGCAATTACCACTGCGGGATTTATGAATTCATAGAGGGGGTCGCTCCGATTTGGAGCCACATCTTTGTGGAGAAGTCAAATTTATAACTAGACAAGCATTTATAAAGGGGTCCACGCACATGTCGGTGCAACATAAAATTTATTATGATGTTTACTGACAAATTGATCAATACTTAATAAGAACATCAAGAAGATTATTACAATGAGAATGTAGCTTTCTGCACAGCTCAAATGCAAAGAGAGACGTGTTCAAGGTTTCAAAGATCAGATTATGCTGTGATTTAACTGTATTGACTAATTTTCCTTTTCACTCATAGGGAGATCACTTCATACTAGATAGAAGGTAAGCAGTAAAATGGCATTAATTCCACAACCACTGATGTAAGAGTAATAATATTGTTTCAAAAAGCTGTATGTAATATAGATGATGAATTGTCAGGTAATTGGCCAAAGTAGAGCTGATTTCATCCTTTCAAATGTAACTAAAGCTCTTCACTGCAAATGATTTTCAATCACTTTTATCGTTTTCCTGTCAGAGCAGCAATTAGAGTCAGCTCTGTCGTGTTTTAAAATGGTGGATATCTCATTCTGTCAGCGCCTGTTCTGTAAAACCTCTTTCCTCCCTTCAGTGCTCAGGATGAAGACACATGCATGAGCACCCAACAGAGGCGGCAAATGTTCAGGTAGGACCACCCCCGTCACAAATCATTCAGCTCCTTTCAGAGACTGAACCACAGGCGAAGAAAATTCTTTGAATCGCCGTCTGTCTAAATCGGCTCGCTCAGGAGCAGGAGTGCTGATCTGAGGATTTGTTTTTGCTGCTCAAGAAAGCTTCTCCTAAATAGGATTTTCTGTCCAGGCTTACTCTTGTGGGACAGGCTGTTCTCATCAAAGCTTGCTAATTAAACCATGAAGCTGTTTGTTTCTTCAGTGTCATCTGTTATTGATCATGCATTGATCATACTGTACATAAATGTTATATTTGGTGGGAGAAGCTGCAGTCTTGCTTTGGTTAAATCTACAAAAGACTGAATGCTGAAAGTAATCATACAAATTGGCTTCAGGCTATGTTTAAGATTTCATGAACTGAGCAATCTAAAGGCCTTGAAATATACAAATACATGCTTTTTTTTATTTTTTATCATATTATGTGGGTGTCTGGTTTTGTTTTGTGTTCTCCAAACATTTCCATGTGCTTTGATTTGTTTTGTTTCTTTTTTTTTTTTTACTTATGTTTTAATAAAGTACTTTGTTTTTTCAAGTGTTGGTCACAAAACAAGCCATTGGAATATGTCGACTTAGATAAGCATGTTTTTGACTATACTGGTTTTGAAAATTTAAGAATAAAACAATTTTTAAAACTAATTCCTTTCTTCTCGGCCAGATTGCGAGCCGGCCGGTCAGGTGCCAGCCGGCACAGCAGCTCAGAGACAGAAACGCTACCACGGCACGGCGAGCCTCGGCCATGGAGCAGTACCGACAGCTCAGACAGCTCCAACCGGCTTGCCCCGCGGCCCGCCATCACCAAGGCCAGCAGCTTTAGCGGCGTTTCCCCCGGCCTCGTCCGAGGAGACAGCACAGCCAGCAGCAAGAGCACCGGGAGGCTCTCCAAAACAGGCAAGAGGGGCAGCTGAGACAGAGTGCAGTTATAGGAACTAGCTCTAATGCAGTGTTTTAATGCTAATTTGCTTAGATGCTAAAGACATCATCAGAATGTCTTCATGTTTTACATACATGTGAAGCAGTCTCAAAAAGAAAGATGAGATTTAGATCTTTGATTCAGCGCATTTGGTCTTATCAGAACAAATGTTTGTTGTCCTGCTGTGGTCAGAAAAATCTGTGGGCTACCCTGTAGCCGAACAGCTATCAGGACTAAGTACTCTACAGCAACACGGAGATCGAAGAGGCTTTCAAGAAGAGTTGTAACAGCAGCAGCAGCAGCAGCAGTAGTATAAAGTCTTAGCAGTGAGGTGTTACTGCATAATGTAAAAGTCTAAGTGCTGGGAAGTGCCATACACACCTCACTGAGATTACTCCACAACATGAAACATTTGTAGCTTGATTGAGATCAGATGAAACATGTTCTTTACTGTGGGCTTGTCTTTTTTTTATCTCTGTGAATACAGGGTGGAAATCATTGTGTTCTTCACTTTGGTCATAACCACCGTTTCTGTCAGGCATTTTCTGTTTTTGCTCATTTCCAGTTTGTTTTTTTTTTTTTTTTTGGCCATCCTGCATTAACCCTTTTCCTCAGCCCTCAAGTAACCTTTCCTTCCAACAGGCTGCACATTATCTGAAAATATTTTCTGGATCTCATTTGAAAACGCTGATTTTACATGGACATTTAAAGAAATAAACTACACTGATTGACAGCAGGAAACATTAAACCTTCTAGAACCAAATTGCAATGTCAGTCTCTCTCAACAATCAGAGGCTTCGTTACCCACTTAACATTTTACATGACATTCGATAATTATACAGAGGACAATCCATCACAGACTGTGCAACGATACCAGTGGCTTCATCAGCAGTTGCCTCAAGAGACCCGCTAGAGAGGTTGTATTATTAGCAAGAGGCACAACTGTGAATTTTTTTTCTTCTGCTTCATTATCACCATCAAGTACTTGATTTCCGCTCAGATGAATAACAAGTTAAAAGCAACAAGCTTATTCTTCTCACACAGTCTGTCTTAACATTGTTCTGGGAAATGTACAAAGGAGATGGTACTCACTTTGTTCTGCCTTTCCTCAGGTTCTGAATGCAGCAGCGTCGGTTCTTCGTCAAGCTCACTGTCCCGTCCCCAGCTGCCTCTCCCAGTTTCAGCTTCTTCCCGGTCCAACATCCCCAGCATGCCCTTAATCCACCCAACCACTGACACCAGAGGTCCTGAACACTCGGAGATGATCAAGTGCATCCCTTCACAGCCACCACCAGCTACAGACACAACAAATTATTATGTGCTGCCGTTGGAAGCCTCAGGGATACCACCTGGAAGTGTTCTGGTCAACCCACACACAGGTGGGTGATACAGTACCTCCATGTGAAAATGAAAAACTTAATTTGTATTTAGAAACTCAGTTTTACAATAAGAACTCACCAGAAACAAATTTAATTTGCATCTTTTCTCACAGTCAGTGACCCAATCCCTGTCTGCTGCATTAAATCAAAGTAAATTCTCCAAAATAAAATTCCCTATCTTGTAGTTTTCTGGTTTCTTCATAAATATTGATGACTTGGAGACAGGTCGGCGTGGGGTTACACTTGCATTGTCAGACCAAAGCATGCTGATCAAAATGCATCAACCACACGGGAGAAATCTGTAAATATTCATCATGAAGCCTAAAATACACTTTTATATGTTTGGGCTGCAAACTCTTTAAGTGCTGCTAAGGTTGTTAGTTCCTGTTGACTCGCCATGTTTGGGTTTGTCCTTCTTGTCACAAGGAGCATAATTGAAGTGTTACCTCATGTATGATGCTGGATTATTAGTGTGTGTACAGCTGACATACTTACTTGCTCCTTGCATGGGGATATGTATATGCACATTGAGAGCCAATGTACCAGAGTCAAATTCCTTGTGTGTCCGACACACCTTGCCAATAAAGCTGATTCTGATTCTGACATCATTGTGGTTTTTGGTCTCTTATGAATTTGATTCGACAGGCAAGCCTTTCATCCATCCTGATGGCAGCACTATAGTCTATAACCCAGCCAGTGTCGTCCCCACTGTTGGCAGGAACCCACAGCAAGGGAAAGCCCCCCAGCAGCCAATCTCTGGCACTAGCCAACAGCAGCCACCCACTCATCTGAACTCCCAGGTGAGTAGACAGGACCATATATATCCATTCAGATTTAATCCATGTAAAGATTACAGTGTTTATCCTTTCCTTTTCTTAACCTCACTAACTTGTAGTGTTGAAATGGGAGCTGATAGTAGGATGTAGGAGCTTTACCAAGTCATTTAACTAACCTTTCAATAAACCCCTCCCCCAAACATCGATTGTCCAGTCATACGCAGTTTATGCTGAGTATGAGCGATACTCTGTATGTAAAGACAGCTTTGTGTAATATTGTATATGGTAGCTTAGTTTTTAATGCTGTTGTGTGTTTTGATCTCTGGGCGTGTTACGTTGTATGATTTTAGTGCTTTAGTTAATAACTTTGTAATGCTTGTTTTGAAAGAAGTGCTATATAAATAAAATTGCTGTTGCTATTAAACCAAATCAGCCCTGGTGACCTGGACCCCCCCTCTCTCCCAATGTCAACTGGGATTGGCTCCAGTGTCCCTGTGACCCTGTTCAGGAATAAGCGGTGTAGATAATGGATGGATGGATATTAAACCAAATCGAAGTGTTGATTGAAGCAGAATGGATAAAGCTAGCCGTCTTCTTCTAGGAGCTGAACGTTTGTCCAAGATGGTGTCAGTCTTTTAGCGCGATATCACATGTGTGACCATCTCATGCATTTCAGTGACTCTTTTACAGTAGTTCCTTCTAAAACACTGGAAATTATTAAAAAGCCAGAGAAGAGGTTTTCAGCAAACTCATGGAACTAATGAAAACTTGAAAATCTGCCAGTGTTGCTATTTCAGCCATTAAAATTGACATTAGCTGGCTAGAAACAACTGAAATCAAGGGCCCTTTGTTTTCAAAGATACTAACAATGCCAGTGGGTAGAACCGCTCATTATTTCTGTCAACTGCATATGTTCAGAGGTGATAGAAGTACACTAATTCAGTACTCAGTTAAAAGGGCTAGTACTTGTCTAAAAAAAAGTGCTGCACTACAAGTTGAACTACCACTTCAATTTTATTGTCAAGTTGACGTACTAAGTACATGCCCTAAAATGTACTTAAAAGTACAGGTACTCCACGAAGAAAACTGTGTATTCTAAACACTGTTGAATTTGATGCTGTTGATAACATGAATGTGCACGTTTGTTTAGCAAGCTTTCAAAGGTGAAAAATTGGGCGCAGCATTTTTTTCTGGTAATTAATAACAGATTAGGTCTGTGTTGCTATGTAGTGACTTTTAGCTACCTTGTGTACTGCCGGGTGGTTAATCTATAATTATACATCTTAATTTATTGTACGAGTGTTCTTTGCATTACAAATCTGATTCTGCAAAGTAACTAAAGTAAAAAATACAATAGTTCCCTCCAAATTGTAGAAGAGTAAAAATGACATAAAATGGAAATGCTACAGTAAACTACAAGTTTACTACACTAAATTGTATTTAGTGTAAGCACAGTACTTGAGTAATTGTACTTGCCACGTCTGCATATGTTACAGGTACAGACCATGCAGCAGGGTAACTGTGGGCGGGGCTTAGCAAAAGGTCAACTGAAGCTCCCACCATTTTACCGGCAACCCTTGTCAAGTCTCATCTCCTGTCCCTTTGTCTGTCTCTTCTTCCCTTCCCTCCTCAGCCGATCTGTCTTCCTCTCCAGCCGTCATCTGAGCCTGTCCACAACCCAACGGTCTCTTATCCTCTTCCTCCTCCTTTTCCTCCTTCTCAGTTCCTGCCCGTCTGTCCTAACCAACAGTACAGTGTGGTACAGAACTTCTTTCTTTCATTTTATTATTCCTCTTCCACATTCCATCTCCTCTCAGACCTGGCTCATTAAGTGTGTATTTATAGACTTTTCTCTGAGCAGTTAAAGTAATAAATTAAACTCTGATGTGGATGTCCCTGAAAACTCTGCTCAACTTGTGTCATACAAACAAACCCGTGGGCTCTGCTTTGATCCAGGACTTCATATTGTCTCTATGTGCCTATTTCTGAGCTTCTTAATAAATTATCTTCAGTGATACATGTAAATATTGTTTATAATGTTTTAAATTGTTAATTTAGCAAGCAGAGTTTGGTATCCACATTCAGTGTTGAACTTTTTCTGTCTTGACTGTGCGTTATTGGACCATTATTTCACCTTTCCCAACTCCATCGCAGTCCTTATACAGTGTTATTTATATACATGTATATAAAAAACATTTTATTTGGGGTATGGTAGAAAGGTGTATCTAAATCCAGCAGGAGCCATTAACTACATATCTAGCTCATGCATGCATTCACGTGACCTTATTTTTGACCTGGTTTTAATGAAAGACATGCATCTGTGACTAATTATGCCTGTGGAAAGTTCTATTAATATTTAATTCATCACCAGATGTTAGCACTGAATAAACCATGACTAAAAACACTACTTTTCCAACAACATGTCAGAAATGCCTTGGTCTGCTGTCCGCTGGTGATACAGATAAATAGCTCTGCTTGAGAGTCTCTGCAGACTCTCCCTGCATTTTTTAATCTTCAACTGAAAGTTAGTGTTTCTGATTTGACACTTGACTTTGAAATCAGCCTAGATTCACTGGTTAATGTGCATTAATCCATATTCTGAGGAGATTTAATGAGTAACATATTATGACCCAGGCTTTGATTGTCTGTGTCCCTATGCTGTATATTTGTTTCTGCTGCATTTCGTCATCCTTGTCAAAACTTTATTACTAAATTATCTGTCCAGCCTGACACCCTCAACACCCAGTTCAGTCACATGACCCTGGCACAGCCACCCCCCAATGACAATGGAGCCTCAGCTCAAGACAACCGCCACTATCCAACTGTGTACCACCACCACTCACCTATGGTCCTGCAGGGAGCTCCTTCGCAACAGATTGCTAGCTACGTGGTGGCAGGCCCATCAGGGGGACATACAGGGGTGCTGCAGGGCCAGCCTGTCCCACTCCCAACGTCGGGGCCCAACCATGCATATCCCAGCTCCACCCCAGGCCCTGCTGCTTTTCCTGGCTCCACACTGAACCAGCCACTACTCCAGCAACACACATACATCCAACCGCCTGTGCAGCAGGTAGACACTTCAGCTGTTCATCTAGTATCATGCTGGCTGTATGTAACTGTTTAAAAATGTAATAGTTTGTCGCTGTGAGTCACCCCTGTAGCGGAATCCAGTTTTATGAGTAATATGTCTTCTCTTGGTGCTGTCAGACCGATTCAAACAGGACTGCTGATTTGTTGTGCACTCCTTGAATCCATGTTCTGTGCTTCTTACAGATGTCCACATGTTACTGCTCATCAGCCCACCACCCACATTGCGCTAGCCAGCAGCAGCATTACCGGACCTCTGTCAACACACTGCCCTATAACTGCCCTCAGAGCCAAAACCTACCCCAGCAACAAGGTACAAACAGTCATTTTGAAGAAGTCTTTGTTTTCTTGGGGGGAAAACATTGCCATATTCTTTATCATTTGACAGAATATAAACCTGAATGGGCTGTTGGGTGGATTTTTTTTTCTTTTTTCCCATAAAACAGAGATGCTAAGATGCAGTTACATAAGGCCCCATTTAAATTGTCATTAAAACCGATTTAGCATAGTGTTGTATGACAAACACACCTGGATATCAACAGGGAGATTAGGTAGGTTCTCCATTTCCCAAGTTTTGTGTGATAAAACCAAAGCTACAATTTCCTGATCTAAAGGCACATCCAAGCCTCTGATGTGAGCTGCTGATTTTTCTTTTCCGCTGCTTCATGTTGTCAAGCACAGACTCAGCCAGGCTGTTATTATCAATAGAACATCCCACTTACAGCTCTTAGGTAGCATGTTGTTGTTGTTGTTCTTGCTTGTTTCCTCACAAGGGAGCTGTGCCAGCCGGAGTCCAACAGCTCTAGTGAAGGACACATATTTCTCCCTTCCTTTTCTCTCTGTTTGTTTGTTTTTACGAGTTCAGATGTCTCCCCAGGAGTCATCCACTTGATTATGCAGTTTTTTTCTTCTTCACCACAGGATTTTAGATTGTTAGCTCCTGCTCTATCAGCACACACAATACTCTCTTACCTGAATGTAATCTGGCTACAGCTGTAACTTGGACAGCCATGCACGCACACACAATAGTGCACACATGTCTCTGTAAGTGGCTCCGGCACTATTTTGTCATCTGTAGGCTGCAAATGCAGCTTCCCTGCTGGGGACCTGGGGAATAGACAGCGGACAAATGAAGCTGACCTACAAAGGCAAAGGACAGCAATTATTTCTCTGGGAAACAGGAAAAAATTACTCCAGCACCTTGTTTCCCTTCTGTTTTTGCATTCATTTGAAAAAAAGAAATACACAGAGACAATGTAAAGGTGGGGCTGCTGTAGCATGGGTGCACACATAATAAATAAGTTATCAGCAGAAATTCTCTGATGGCCCAGTCAGTGTCCAAACCTGGAAATGTTTCCACTCGCTTGCATCAGACAGTCACCATCACGACAGGGCTTCAGCTACAGTCATGGCCATGAAAACATCTTGCGTATTTGAAGGGACTGAAGGATTTGTCCTTCTTCCTCTTTACTATAAGCTGATGCTACAGGTTATTAAACATTCTGTGGCTGTAAAGATGCTAGAAAGAAAATGTGACAAATTGCACCTTGAGTGGAAGCAACATGAAACAAAATCACATTTTTTTTCTAAGGACTGATGAAAAATTGAACAAAATGTATATGGTATTTGTATATAGAGTCTAAATAATTTGTCTTATTGGTTTATTTTTTTTACATATTTTGTGATTTCAGCTTCTCCATCGTGATGATTTGCTGTTTTTCTTAGGGTTTTACACAGATGGTGTGACAAAACAAAGTTGAATGTGTTACCCTGGCCTTATGGAAATTATAAGATGTAGTTTTTGCAATTTCCTGATATGTAGGGACAGTATGAGGAATGGAGAAATGAATCTGCAGATTAGTCAATTTTGGAAACAGTCATTAGTTGCCGCCATAATGATAGCATAAACTAAATGTCATTGCTAGAAATAAAATATGGCAACATGAACTTTCAATTAAAACACCTGCAGAAAATCCAAAGGCAACAGAGGGATTTTTTTCCCCACAGATCGAACCGTTTTTTGTTTTTTAGAAGGATTCGTAGCACAACCAATGTTGTGTTCAAGACATACCTGGACTAAACCAATAAATTATGCTGGCTGGTTTGACAGTCTCTTATGATTTCATACCAAGAAGGAGCAGGTGTAGCAAGTCTGAGAGGTGGGATACGGGACCGGGACGCTGTCTGAGAGGTCTCTATGAATCTCACAGTGAACCGGTCTCTTTTTCAGCCCCTCACTCCTCACCTGAAGGACATACAGTAACCTCACTGTGGCAGGACAGCCAGGACGAGATCAGACGTGGGACTAACTAAAACTGGTCACTGATGGAGTGTATACAAGGGAAAAACTTTCAGAAATTGGTCTTAGCCTGTTCTCACTGGATGACTTTAATCTCTAAGCTGCATAAAGCTATCGTCCTTCAAATACACAATGTGGTCATTACCGGCCTCTGAAGGAGTTTTCTAAGTAAAGAAGTCACAGTCGTCCCTCATCTGCTGCCTGCTGCAATGGGGTAAAATTGTGTGCGTTTCATATTACGGTCATTTCATGCTTGATTTGTAATAGAAGGTGGGAGATGGGGGTGGATAAAAATAGTCCTCGCCCCTCTGTTCCTGGCGGAGCACTCTCATTGTCTAGTTGTACTTTTCTCCCAGGGCGACAGACTGTAAAGGCACCTCCACAAAAGGACGTCCTCTCCTTTGTCACTCGGATTACTGCATTTGTGTGTCATGAGGGACAGTATTTTCAAATGACTCTTTTTTGTCACCTTGACATTTAAGTGTCTGATTCTTTTCCCCACCTCTGGCTAGAAATAAGCACCACCATTTTAGGCTGTTTTAAGAATGGCTGGCTTGGTGTGACTTTGTATCATCTTTTGTGTCATTTTCTTTGGATGCTCTAAATGGGGTTTTAACAAGTGCTGTAGAAATGTGATCCCATTTTCTGTCTACCCCCTGATCTTAATCACTCACTGAAGTGGAAGGGTTTTTTTTTCTTCAGGCCCTGAAGTGGCTCGGTCACTCAGGTTGCAGGTTCAGGCCACCGCAGGCTAAATCAGATATATTGACCTTCTCATTTTTTCCAAGTGCCTCAAACCTGCTTGGCTGTAACAGCTCAACTCCCAGAGCCAGGCCCCGACTTCCACAGTCTTTGAATCCACTGCTTGTCCTTTTGTTCTCTGTCTGATTTCGCTTCAGTATTTATATTTGATTGTTTAAACAAACAAATTTCACAATAAAATGAATTAATTTTCTCAAAATCTTGATAACCAAGCCCTTTTCTTGAAGCTCTTGGGTCTTCTCTAGCTGTGCTGCACGTGACTCATGAATACTAATCACAGTGTTTTTGTGCCTTATTATTGTCACCATGTTCCTATCTGGAGTCCCTTTTCATTTGGTCACACTGTTGTGCCTTTCTCATTTTGCCTCAGTGCACCAAGCCGTGATGCCAAACCCAACGTCCAGCTACCCGACTGTAGTGGGCGTGCAGCCAACACTCAGCCTCGCTCTCACTGGCAACCAGCAAAGCAATATGGGAAACCAGATGCAAGGCATGATGGTCCAATACCCTCCAATACAGTCTTATCAGGTATTTTGATGATGAAACGCTTCTATGAGCTTTCCCTATGACTGTCAGATTAATAAAGCCAGTCTAAACATCAAAAAGCCTTCAGCTCATTTTGTTATGAATTAAATTTTCTGTTCTTGAGGCTACTGTTGTTCTTTAAGATCAAAAAAATAAGAGCATGCACTTAAAATCAACAGGGAATACCAATGTTGACTTTGGAGTTATTTGACCTTAAAATTAAGGGAAACAGAAAACTACTTTGACATGTCTAACAAAAAATAGAAAACTGGAGTGCTCACTCAAAACAGTTTTTGGCAGTATCACAGAAAAAGCATAGTCCATGATGCTAAGCTCTTGTATACTGGCATTTATAGCAAGGGAAGATCTCAAGATGCTTTTAAGATTTCTTGTTATA